CCCCCCCCCCCGGCTGTGAAGGAACACAGGAGCCAACAAGCAATCATCAAACCCCACTAACCAGGTATTTTAGATACTTTAACCATTCTTACTAGCAAAGCAAAACCAAGCCGTGCTGTGAGCTAACGTGAACGTAACCAACGTATGTACTGCGCGCTCACACCGTATGCAGTTGGGAGCGCGTAAAATTATCACCAAACTAAAAATAAAAACTAGTGAAGGTAACACTAGATCTTGTCTGCCTAATATTTTCACAGTTCTAAAAGACGTTCTTAAGTCAATCGAAACTATTATCACTGGTCCAAAACGTCCTATGATATATTTCTTCTTTATTGCAGTGAGTCAAAATCAACCCACAATGAAGGTGGAGGGTGCAGTACGTTTGAGATGCCATATTCAGTGAAAAAAATTAAACCACTGAAACATCAACAATAGAATAATATACTGCCGCCCTCCCCCCCCCCACCAGGGCAGTGCTACTGACTGAAGATGTCTTTAGGCCATAGCCAAAAGGGGATATTAACAGGTTCTTATGGACCGTAGAATTGTAAACGGGCTGAAGTATCAAAGTCATGCTCATACTGTGCCGAAACAACATAGGGGAACTGCTGCTTTTTCTTTCCTCACTCTTTCTATTGTCATTTCCCTCTACTTATTTTGTATGTTTATCACTGCCTTGTGAATTGCTATTTCCGGGGTGCCTTGATAGTCGAAGCAGACTTTGTGCTGCTGCGACAAGAGAGGTGAGCAGAGTAAGCCCAGTAAGCCTAAGGCCGGTCCCAGAGGGGCTCTGTAGGTCTGATATGCAGCTTGCTTAGCTTGCATCGTGCAAATGGACATACAATATCGTTTGTCTGAGCAGCGTCGCTGTATGGTCAGTCTGTAGTCAGCTGGGCTGCACGACGCGTCAGACGTGCTATTCAACAGTGTTGTAAAACATGTCGGGCATGTGTCGCACGCAGCCTCGCTTCGTGTTTATTTTCGACTGAAATTCTTCCCAGATCATCAAAATAGCCAGAAGTAAGTATTATTAGGTGTTTTACTATTAGATATTGAGGCTAGCATCAACACTTGACCACAAAATCCCAAGAAATGCTCTTCATCCTGCATTAAAATTTCGAATCGAGAGGTGGACCTAGTTTCGACTGTTCGTTTACATTCGTAGACCTGTGTACTTCTAGCCTAAAAATGGCTGTGCTGACACGCAGAGGGCGCTCACTCAGGCATAGAAGCCGACGCACAGGGCTGCTGTGCTGACACGTAGACGGCGCGCGCTTGACGAGCTACAGGTCAGATCTGCAGAGCCACTCTGGGACCGGCCTTATTCCCTGTTTGGACTTCTCTGTTGACATCCACCCGTTGGCGCTCATATGACCTTATGAAGTTGCGAGCGCCGTAAACTCTTACTAAAAACTAAGATAAGAATGTATCATAAGATTTATTAAATCCAGATCACATTTGGGGCAAAGGTCAGGGACATGTCTGGCTGCCACGCTACAGCAATTCTATGACGCTCAATGTATAAAATGACATATACCAGCCTGCGAAGATTCAAGAGTCTCTTTGATTCTGCCTGCCAGGCCCAACACGGGCAATGAGGAATACAAAGTCCGGGAAGAATGGCCCAGATATTCAATTTTAAAAAAACCTCCCTTTCACACACACACACACACACACACACACACACACACACACACACACACACACACACACACACACACACAAATAGAGGAAGGGGCAGAAAAATGGGGAATGGGGAGGGGTGGGGGCTGCGGGGAGGAGTAAAAAACGAATAGAAAGGGAACGAGAAACCTGAAAACAGTCTAATCTCCATGAAAACTCACGCGTTCATGTTGCTGTCGGTCACATCCATGGCGTTGCGCCTCGTGAACAACCGTCAAAATTCAATCTCGAACAGCTTTTTCAGGCAAACCTTAACTCGTGTTTGTTCCGCTCGCCTGCCCGACTGCCCGTTCACAATGTAACAAACTGAAATACAGTGGGAAAGCTGTAACCTCTACTGCGACATTTGTCGTGCCCTACACCAGAGACCAGATAATAGACCGGTGGTAGAGCTATATTTTATCACGCGGTCCACTTATCTGGGCCTGAGAGTGTCCACACACAAAGTTCTGCAAAGCACTCGTTGAACTAGAGGGGGTGGGGCAGGGTGGGATGAAGAGGGGGCGAGGGGGCGGGGTTATGAACTTCTCATAGTCATTTTGTCAGTGTTGTCGTTGTTTGTTTTTTCTTCGTGTTATTTTATTTTATTTGAGAGGGGTAGGGCACCAGTTGTGCAGCAATTGTGTGTAGACTGGCGTATAAGTTGCTCAGAAAGCCAGGAGATGTTCTCCGAGTCATATTTAATTTGTGCTGACTTCTTGCAAAACACCCGTGGTTTAACCACCCGCGCGCAACTTATTTATATCCCTTTTCTTACTTTTTTCAACTTTAAGAGTTTGAATATCGACAAAAATATTCCTCAAGCACCGATACTATAGATCAGAAACTCCAATCTTTAAAAATGTAACACTGTTGGCTTGTGAATATTAATTGTAACAACTTTTTTTGCGGGGAGTGGAGGTGGGGATGTTTTCTTTTGTGTGCTTTTTTCTTTTTTTTCTTTTTTTCTTTTTTAATTAATTAGGACCTGCTTTTCATGAATGATCATCATCATCATCATCATCATCATCATCATCATCATCATCATCATCATCATTGTACTTTCTCACCCTGCATTAGGATAGTATAGGCCTTGAACACTTTCCACCTTTCCCTATCTTCCCACTTTTCTGTATATCATTCTCTTTGGCTATTCTCCAGGTTCCACATGGCTTTCCCCTCGGTCTCTTACCCTGTGGATTCCAATCCAACTTTCATTGTGCAGCTGCCTGGCTTCCTGAAAGTAGCCTATGTCCAAATCCATTGCCCCCGCCTTCTTCCCACTTCATCTCCGACTGGGCTCTGTTTTGCTCTCCTCAACACTTCCTCACTGGTGGCCCTGTCTTCCCACCTGATCCTGAATAGTTTTTCCTACACTTGTTCAAGAAAACATGGACCCTTTATATGCAAGTACACGATGCTTTCCATGTCTTACATCTATACAACAAACTGGCTTACAACATTTGAAAATCCTCAGCCTAGTTCGAAGCGAGATATCCCAGGTCCTTCAAATTCTTTTCATGGCATGAAAACAGCCTTTGGTTTTCCTATGCGGGGCTCGTTTCAATTCATGTTCCCCCCCTCTGTACTCCTACAGCCACAGAAGAATTCAGCGTCTTCTAGTGCATTTCCTTTTAATAAAAATAATTGTTCCTTCTGTGGTGTAGTTATCCTTAAGTCCTTTGCCTTTTGGGGTGAAACTTCAGTCCAACAGACGCTTATAGGCTGCTTGAAATTGAAGTTTTTTCTAACATCTGTTCTTGGGTGTGCGACAGAAGCATCAAGTCATCCGCAAAGTTCAAATCGTCCTACTGTGTCCATGGGGTCTATTGTATGACGCTTCTGTGCCGTCGAGCGGTTTCCTTCATCTGCCAATCAGTCTCCAAGACGAAGACGAAAGGTGATAGCAAATATCCTTTCTCACACCAGTTGAAGTCAAAACTGTCAAGGAGCTGGTCATCATGCTCATTCCTGCAACGTATCCCTTCATACATGCTCTTGATCAGGCTCACCAACTTCTGATAGATTTCATGATGTTCCATTGTATACCACAATGTTGCTCGGTCTATGCTGCCAAAGGCCTTCATTGTCAAGAAATTGGGACTGTTCCACAATGATCCTCAGCGTGGCAATGTGGTCTGTGGCTGATGGGGTTTATTTTCTGAAAACCAGCCTGTTTATCCCGAAAGCTTGGGATCGTTGCAGTCTTGATTCTCTCCAGAATGATTACGTTGACGCCCTTTCCTAGTATTAACACTCTTCTTGCGCACAGGTTTTACCGATTAAATTCCCCTCGCACACTGAGCTAGTAGGCAAGCAATTCCATGGAAACGAAGCATTTTGACATTTTCTTAAAAAAGAGGACTGTGAGGTCGATTTTCTGGCTACTGGCATAGATTGGGCATCACTGGAAGGAGAACTGGATGAAGAATCTAAGCCAATACTACTCGCTCCTTATAGCTCTATTTAAAGGTCTAAAGAATCAAAGCTGTCTGATCCTGTTGCAGTGGTAGGCCTGGGTATAACTTTATGTCTGGTTTGAGGGTGATGCATTCGCAGGACGATTATAGCATTCTTTCTTTTTCTACAGTCGAAGTTAGATTACTATAATATTCAGAAGTTAATAATGGGAGTATTATAACCCTCCGTGTTCTTTTCTTGAGTCCGGTCACAATTTTACCAAACACGTATACGTGCGATCCACAAATAAAAAGGTCGGGCGTGGTTGGTTGGCGGGTGCTCTGGTGTGATTTATTGCTCTTTCTTTTCAATGAAATATCTTTCGCCATTATCTCTCCTCCTTTTGGGTTTGTTACTCTATTGTAACACCGCTAATCTGCGGCACTTATATAATATGACTTAATCATATTGCAAGTGCCGTAAAACTCTTACTAAACTAAAGGTTGGGCAGCTAAACGAAGGCTGACTAGTGTTCCACAACGAATGGTACCCATGGAGAGTGTTAAAGAGAAGCACAATCCCTCTGTTGTTGCTGCAGTTGCTGAGATTCTCCTTTCCTTTTGGAAGCTTCACGGGTGTCCTTCTTTCCAATCCTTTGGGAACTTGCTTTCATTCCTGATCACGGTAAACAGTGACAGTGAGAGAATAATGTCTGTCGTCACATTGCCATCTGTTTTTAGAACTTCAAGCGGAATCTGATCAGGGCCGGTCGCTTTGCCTCTGTTCAACTTGCTATGTTTGTATCCATAATTTCTTGTTTTGAGGGAGCAGACTAACTATAAGAATGCATAGCTAGACGAGAGCAGACGGAGGGTAAACAATAAAGAACAAAGAAAAACTACAAAGAAAGGAAAATAACATACTTTAATTAACTGGAAAAGAAAAAAGGAAAAGAAAAGAAGTAAGAATACAAAAAAAAGAATACAGAGAATTAAAAAGAGAGTAGTAGAAATAAGCCTGAAAAAAAAGAAAAGAAAGAAAGAAAATATGATGCAACTTTGAAAGAAAGAATTGCACAGAATGTTCCAGATCTGAACCCCTCCCCCTCCCCACCCCCTC